CGGATCATTAAGGGTCCGTCCTGAAGACAGGATGGGACATTGGGGGGGGGCTCATTTTTACTCCTAGCTCCTGATTGGCTGACGGTGAGGGCTGTTTTGTTGCTCTGAATCACCACACAGACAGCTTCATAAAGTCTCCCAGCATGCATTGCGAGGGAGAAATAAATCTTACCGGGGTGGTGGTCAGTATACGATGTGCGATCACCATGGAAACAGTTACCTGGGATACTGCAACTTCCTGTGAAAGCTGCACTGGTTTCACGTCCCTACTTGCTGCTGTTTCAAGACAGAAACAAAGAGCTGCAGCTTAAACACACGTTCAACGCCACATGTTAAACCAACATGCTAAAAACATGCACATGAAAGAGTACAGAAGCAACAGGAGCCCTGAGGAACCCCACAGCTAGCTGCTATAACACAGAGTTTAGCTGGTTTCTAACTACAGACCTCTCCAGAGGTCTGCTGATGTCAAAGGATTGTTGTCACATGTTGTTTTGCTTTTTTGCTGTATTTTGTAACCAGACATGTCCCAGTGTTAAACAGGACCAAATCTGTCAAAGTGATCACAGTGATAAAGCTGCGGCTCTGTAAAGGATACAGGACGGAGAACACCAACCGTCAGAACAGCAGTGAAGGTGGATGGTGGTCTCCACAGAGGGGGGGGCATCACATCAGCAATCAGCCGCCTGTAACGCAGTCTTCAGACCTCAGGTGGTTTGACACCAACTCACAGTTTGACCCATAACTCACATGATTACAGGGTGGGTCAGCAACTGTGAGGATGACCCCCGAGAGGACAAGTACCAGAGGTCAAAGACCCGAGACACCTCATCGCTCTGTCCAGTGAAACATTTGCAAGAACCTCCAAATGCCTTAAACTTAAGAACTTAAGGAGTTGCAGGACCTAGAAGACCAAGAAAGCACACAGGTTAAAGTGCTCTCTTCAGCTGATCTGTGAAACATGAACATTATTACACTCAGCTGCTCACTGATCAACGTGAAGGGAAGCTGACCAATGTCTGCAGGTCAGGTTATCGTTCAAACTCCACGAGAGCAGCAGTTCCACCTCCATCATCCATCACATCCATCTCACCTGCAGATACAAGAAGCTAAAGAGGACACGGGAATGACATCACGGACTCAGGTGAGAACGTCATCGTCACCTCAGGTTTCAGAGGTTCACACGGTGATGTTTGGAAAAATATGAACACGACCTTTAAATCAGTTACACATGTAAAACCTAAATGTCTGATCAGATTTACTCCAAACACAAAGAAAAGGTGAGCAGCAAAACAAAACGCAGAGAAACAGCGGCGCCTCCTGAA